GCTGTGGGAGCGGGTGCGGCAGAGGCCGCGACGCCGTTGGTCTGCGGCGGCACGGAGGACATGGCGCGGCTGGTGATGTGCGACTGAGCGCAAACGAAGTTTCGGGGACGATGAGCTTGTGTTGGCGCGCGGTGGACGATGGGCTAGTGACGTAGGTAGTGCAATGAAGGTGGCGCGGGTTTCTAGATCAGCTCGGTAGCCGTACGCATGCCAGAGTTCGCAGTCGAGTTGCGATGAGGCGCGTGATGGTGAAGTGGTTGATTGGTTTGTGCTTGCGAGGGGAGCTTTACGTGGTGAGCGCGATCGTTGCGGTTGGGGGCGCAACATTCTAATCCCGTTCCGGCTACTGTGCACTTGTCACCTCTGCGTGGAACTCGGACAGTAGTAGCACCAGCAGCAAAGAAAATTGAATTAAGAGAATAAATAAATTCAATGATTCAAATACGGTCAACATGGATAATTCGCCGATATTTTCCAATGCCGATTCCACTTGTATTGCTGCTTTGAATTCAGTACCTACCCACCGGTAACCTCGAGGAACTTAACGGCAGCCAATGAGAAGAGCAATAGTAATGTACTTCAAATGTCCTTGGGCCTAGGCATCGATACTAACTATTTAGCAGCACAAGTAAAATGCCTTATCGCATGCAAAAAGCCATCAGCGGCCGCTTGCAGGGCTTGGAGGGGCAGCTTCCAGCAGCACCAGCGAACCGGAGGCGTCCTGTCGCTGCCCCACCAAAAAAGCCGGCCGATGCAGGACCGCAGAGTCATATCAGTCAAGCCTTTTTCTCAACCTATACCCTCTCTTCCTATCTTTCATTTCACGGGGACTTGGTATTATCAATCTACTCCAACATACCTCCAGCAGTGCTAAATTTAGCCAACCATTGACCCCTCGAAATCCGTCGCCTAGCCCCTGTCCAGTCGCTCGATACCCCTCCATCCACTGCGCCCACCAAAGGCTCTACCACCGACCACCATGGACATCGAGCTGCCGCTGCCGTTCCTCGTCAGCGTCGCCGTCCCGCCGGGACTGGCCAATCTCGACGGCCTCACCCGCGAGGAGGTCTCGATTCTCGGCTGCCCCTTCCTCGACGCCAAGCCCCAGCTTATCGAAAAGTTCGCCAACTTCTTCAAGCGCCACAGCGCCGAGTTCCAAGCCCACCTCGATGCCACAGCCCTCGAGCAGGACCAAGTCCTTGGCCTCCTCGACCGCGGTGCCAGACGCGTCTTTGTCACGCCCGAGGCGCTCCCGCAGTATGCGGAACTCGGTGACCGAGTCCTCCCCGTCGTGTCCGCTCCGGATCTGTCCGCCGCCTCGGAGCACGGCCTGCTGATCCGCGACTTTGACCCCGAGACCTGGGACGTCACCAAGTTTATTGCCGACGCCCAGGCCGCCAAGGCCAAGATTCTCTACATCAAACCTGCCGACGGTGTCTCGCTTGGGGATTTCATCCAGGTTGCCCAAACGAGCAACGCCGTCCCCATTCTTCCCTCGACTGGTCTGACCACCGACAAGGCCGATACCAGCAGGCTGCTCCTTTCCAAGGTTCTCTCCAGCCAATGGAAGTCAGATCGCCCCGACGGTCTCGTTCCTACTGTGGTGACTGATGAGACGGGAATCTCCCTCGGTCTTGCCTACACGAGCGAAGAGAGCATTCTCGAGGCCTTACGCACGCAGACTGGCGTCTACCAAAGTAGGAAACGGGGTCTCTGGATCAAGGGCGCCACATCGGGTGACACGCAAGAGCTCATTCGCATTGCGCTCGACTGCGATAACGACACCCTCAAGTTTGTCGTCAAGCAGAAGGGCCGCTTCTGCCACCTCGAGCAGTTTGGCTGCTTCGGAAACCTTGGCGGCATCGCAGCCCTCGAGCAGACCCTCGTCTCCCGCAAAGAGTCTGCCCCCGAAGGCTCCTACACAGCCCGCCTCTTCTCAGATGAAAAGCTACTGCGGGCCAAAATTATGGAAGAGGCCGAGGAGCTGTGTGACGCCAAGACGCCGCAGGAGGTCGCCTTTGAGGCTGCCGACTTGATATACTTTGCTCTCACCAAGGCTGTTAGCGCTGGTGTAAGCCTGGCAGATGTCCAGGCCAATCTGGATGCCAAGAGCCTCAAGGTCACGAGACGCCCGGGAAATGCCAAGGGCAAGTGGGCTGAAAAGGAGGGCATCACAACTCCGGCTGCTGCTCCTCCCTCGGCGCCTGCTCCTGGCCCCATGGCCGCTCCTCCTACTACCGACCGCATCCTCATGCAGCGTGTAGACTCTGCCTCCATCTCTGGAGCAGACCTGCAGAAGACGCTGCAGCGTCCGTCGCAAAAGTCCCCCGATGCCATCCTCAAGATTGTTGTCCCCATCATCGAGGATGTCCGCAAAGGCGGCGACAAGGCTCTCCTCTCCTACACCCACAAATTCGAAAAGGCCACATCCCTTATGTCTCCCGTTCTCAAGGCTCCTTTCCCTCCTGAGCTCATGAAGCTTTCCCCCGAGACCATCAAGGCTATTGACACCTCCTATGAGAACATTCGCAAATTCCACGCCGCGCAGGCTGAGGACAAGCCCCTCAGCGTAGAAACCATGCCTGGCGTCGTTTGCGGTCGTTTCTCGCGCCCTATTGAGCGCGTAGGTCTGTATGTCCCTGGTGGCACTGCCGTCCTACCCAGCACTGCCCTCATGCTCGGCGTCCCTGCGATGGTCGCGGGCTGCGAAAAGATTGTGCTCGCTTCTCCCCCGCGCTCCGACGGTAGCATCTCCCCCGAGATTGTATACATTGCCCAAAAGGTCGGTGCCGAGAGCATCGTCCTCGCCGGCGGTGCGCAAGCCGTCGCTGCCATGGCCTACGGCACCGAGAGCGTCAGCAAGGTCGACAAGATCCTCGGCCCTGGCAATCAGTTCGTCACGGCCGCCAAGATGCACGTCAGCAACGACACCAACGCCGGTGTCAGCATTGACATGCCTGCCGGCCCGTCCGAGGTGCTTGTCGTGGCCGACAAGGACGCCAACCCGGCCTTTGTCGCGTCCGACCTGCTTTCGCAGGCCGAGCACGGTGTCGACAGCCAGGTGATCCTGCTGACCGTCGACCTTTCCGAGGCGCAGCTCAAGGCCATCGAGGACGAAGTGCACAACCAGGCCATGGCCTTGCCCCGTGTCGACATTGTGCGCGGCGCGATTAAGCACTCGGTTACGGTCACGGTCAAGACGATTGAGGACGCCATGCGCATCAGCAACGATTATGCCCCCGAGCACTTGATCCTGCAGGTCAAGGATGCCGCCAAGGTCGTCGACAAGGTCGTCAACGCCGGCAGTGTCTTCATCGGCGAGTGGACCCCCGAGAGCGTGGGCGACTACTCGGCCGGCGTCAACCATTCACTACGTATGTCTACTCCATCTTCTTTCCTCCGCCCCCCATCTCCGTGTCTCGAGCAGAAAGCTAACCCTCTCCTTTACCACAACAGCGACGTACGGCTACGCCAAGCAGTACTCCGGCGTCAACCTTGCCTCCTTCATGAAGCACATCACCTGCTCCAACCTCACCAGCCAGGGCCTCCGCAACGTCGGCTCCGCCGTCATGCAGCTCGCCGGCGTCGAGGAGCTCCACGCCCACAAGCGCGCCGTCGAGATTCGCCTCCGGTGGCTAGATGAGCAGCAAAAGCAATAAGAACAAGCGAAAAGAAAAATGATGCTAAACGAGGTGACGCGTGGATGAAGGTTGTAGACAAAAAAAAAAGGGGGGGGGGGGGGGAAAAAACTACTGGTTGGGAAAAGCTAGATGATATATGTTTTTGTTTGAGAGATTTTGAATAATATGATGAATACATTACAAGAATTTCCCCTTTTTAAACCCAACAAGAAGTGCGTAGTGCTCGCGAAGCAGTCTGTATGTAGATGCATCAGCAGGCTCGTCGTCAGCACGGATAAATCGTCGGAGAGGACGGGCAAGATTCACAGGGCTAGGTTGGTAGTCACATAAAGTAAAATTAGGCGACGTCAAGTCTGCCAAGAAACTCCTGGTAATTCTTCAACAATGCTATACTGCAATCTCTCTGCTTGGACGTTCTCTAGTCCTTATTCGTGAGCAAGTCATATCACAGTTGTACGCCTTTGCGACGCTGTACTTGCCCCCTCCGTAATACTACCGGGCAATGCCCTGTAGTTGTGAGGTAGAAATGAGTATAAGAAGGCGAATATTATTTTATTTGATATCCCCGGAAACGAGCTGCTAACCGCTAACCCAGGTCGCCTGCTGGTCGTCATTCGCCAGTATCTGGGTTTTCCTTTACTGCCAGCTCCTTACCCTTCTTCTTCTTAGGGAAGCGCCAGGACGCCATCCTAGATTGGCTTCCGTCCTTGGACCCCTTTGATCCAGGGGCCGAGCTGCTTGCCATGCTATCATAGCTGCGCCCGAATTGGACGTCCTCACCCACATCATCGACATCACCAATGCTCGATCGCTGATCGGCCGGGACGTTCTTATCTGAATTGGCTGTGCTGCCGGGGCCCTTCTTAAACAGCCCAGAATCCTTGCCAAGTCGCGAAGTTAGGCTAAACTTGCCAGAGCTGCCTTTTCGAAAGAGCTTCTTAACCTTGTTTTCTGCGTCCTTGGAGACCGAACCAGACAAAGAGTTCAAGTCGGACGGTGCGTTTGATATTGTTCCATCCAGAGTCAATGACTCATGTGATTCCGATACAGAGACCGACGCTTGTGTGTGAATTGACTGAGTTTCGTGAGAGATTCTGCGTTTAGATGACGAGTCATCCGTTTTCAACGGCAGCTCGAGACTCGGAGCTGCCTCTTGGGGCTTGAACCTATCCTTTTTGAAGAGATTGCCCATATTGCCCATGAACGTAGGCGCATTCGGGTTGAGCCTCTGATTGACAGATTTGGTGGTTGTCGACGGGCCTGATCCAATGACGCCGACCTGTGGTGGATTACGCAAGTCGTTCTCATCAAGAATCTCATCATCGGCGGAGGCAAGCGTCGTTGTCAATAAATTCCCCGTGCCATGAATGGACGGTCGCCTCGAGTTGCTACGAGAAGGCCAAGGGCCTTCACCAGCTTGCCAGGCTCTGTGTTTGGGCAACATGCCATCGTTTGGCTGGCCCCAGATGGAACTGCTGTCTGTTGACGGCCTGGGCATATCGGCCGATGCAATAGATGCAGGCCGCGAATCGGGATCCCTGTCCCGGCCGTTGGAGAGTGAGTTCAGCCTTCTGCCGACCAGCGAAAAGTGGCTAGTTGTACCCTCTGGGCGGGCCGGGCTACGAACAGACCAAAGAAAGTTGCGCCTGCGGCGTACCTCGTTGCCCTCGAATTCTTCCGCTCCTCGAGGGAATGATTGGCTCTGACCGGGTTTGAGGCTACCGATAGGAGGCCCCTCATCAACAGGCTTCGTGCCACGATTGCGTTGAAACGTGGACAGTAGATCACTGAACCGGTGGGTGCTAGCCGCCGGCGAGTTTGGTGTTTGGTGCGGGTTCAACGAGCTCCTCTCCGCGGGTTCGTACTGGGGGTAGGGCAGATTGTGACTTGATCCATGAGGACTTGAGAATGCGCGATATGATGGGCTGGACGAAGCGGGAGAGTGCGGCTCATCTCCTGTAATGCTGATGGCCTCCTGTATGCGAGCCCCAGCCCGACCCTCGTCGCTCTGATCGTCTAACTCGTCGAATATGTTGGACGGCAATAGTGTCTGAGCCAATGGACTGAGAGACACAGAAGCCATCTTGAGCTCTACCTCCGCCTGAGGCTCGTCTGATGGATCTGGCTCATCAACAAACAACCGGGGAGGAAATGGTGGGTGAACGAAGGTTGAAGGAGGCTGGTATCCTGACTCGGATGTAGGAAGCGGGTGCGGTGATGGAGTGCCTTGTTCATGAGGAGAAGCACCGTTTAGACTCGGCCTCGCTTGCTGAACCGGAATCGAGCCGTCATAATCAGGAGCCGGGGAGCCCATGGACGGATAATAGGTTTGTTGGAACCGCTGCTGAGCCTGGGCGACCTGTTCGGAGAGGTTCTGTATTTGCAGCTCGAGTTCGCGGCCACGGTTTACCTCTTGAAAGAGGGCGGCCTTAAGTTGCTGCTCAGACACGATGAATTCCTGCTGAAGACGACGGTCTTCCTCATCCCAATGCTCGTCACTAGCGCCTGGCAACAGCTCGCGCGTAGCCTTCAAATCCTGCAGCTGTTTCCCCTTTTCCTTGAGTTCAGATTCCAATTCCGCACACTTGTCCTGGAGCTCTTTATTGCCCTGGTCGAGGGAGCGAACTTTCTCGTCTCGTTGCTGATCCAATTCGCATCTTTGCACTTGAAATTTCTTGCGCTCATTTCTCATGCGCTCAATCTCCTGCTCCATCTTCTTGATGTTGTCTTTGGACTTGGCTCTCTTGGCCTCCTTCTCTTTTAGAGACTGTTCCTTCTTTGCGCGTTCTTTCTCAACAGTACGCATTTGCTCCATGCTTATTCTTACTTGCACTTTAAGCTGCGCTGTGAACTCTTCCTTCTCCTTAAGCATTCGGCGTTTGCGCTCCTTTTCTCTCTTTAACTCGTCCTCCTGGAGTTTAAATTCGGTTTCTTCTTTGGAAATTTGGGCTACAACGTCGTCGATTTCCTTTCGTATACTCTCAAATTGCTTGTTCAACTCGTCCAGAGACTCATCGGGTTCATTGGGACCTTGATGTTTGGTCTGCGGCCGTTCAGAGCTTGTCACAGAAGGAGAATGACGTCTATTGATAGTGTTTCGTCGCTGGTTCGTCAGAGAGCCATTGTTGGTATCGCGAAGGACGGAAATGGGGCTGTCTAGCACGGGAGCAGATTCGAGCGAGGGGACGGGGCCGGACGGAGAGTCGGAATCATCGCCATTATCGGTAGTGCCAGAGCGATGCTCATCGGTAGAACAGTGTGCGGGAAGGGGAGCGTCAATAGGCTGCGGCTTGCCATCTTTCCCCCACGTTTGCAGGAGCACTGGAGGGCTTGGTGATTGAAAACTGTTAGGCGCGACAGCGATGACGCGGATACTGTAATAATGGCTCGGTTTTAAGCCAGTAACAGTGATGGCGAAATCATTTCCAGGAGACTCGCCCACTGGTACTTGGGTTAGCTTCCAGGTAACTCGTGGGGTGGCCCGTGATGGGAAGTGGTCGTAGCGAGAGAACTGACCATGGACGCCGTTGACTTGAATATTATACTTGTGGACAGGCTTGTTGGTTGGTGGTCGGTCCCAGGTAATGGTAACAGCATCGGAGCGGATGCCCGCCAGGCAGACATTAGGGGGCTCGGGGATATCAACGCCGAGTATCATGACCAGTTCAGAGACTGGTTTGAGCAAGGTTTGGCAGGTTCGGCGGACAAGCCTGTGATCACGGAACGCGACAAGGTTAGAAGAAAGGGCGCGGCACGAGGGAGTTGAGGAGAAACGAACCAAAGACCCGATATGATGGTCACAGCCGTATGCAAGTATCGCTCGACATAGTTGTTGATGGGCACGTGGAGTAAGAACTCATGCGCCTCCAAATAGCTCTGTAGCATCCATTCACGGGGATCGAAAACGATGAAGGTGGCGGCAATAACGGTGAAGAATGTTATTGGGAAGAACTCGAGCGGACGGAGCAGGTAGCAAAAGAAGACGACGAAGAAAGTGCCGGCAGTCCATGCCAGAAACTGCCACGCCATTGTCGCGGCGACCAGGACATAAGTGCTACAGCGACCGAGACGCTGGAGACTGTATGTAATCTGGTAGAGATGAGATCTCGGCGGTGACGGCGAAAAGGAATGGTGGTTGAACGGAGGAATAGATAGCCGGTGAGGAGCGATTGAGTAGGTGAAGCAAAAAGGCCGGTTGAGTAAAAGTTAAGCTCCGCCAAGTCTGACGAGCTGATTGGGCGGCGGATCGAGAGGCGCCTGGTAAGCGTGATGGGTGCGGAAGGGAAGTAGTGCGCACTGTGTTATCTATGGAGGAAGTGCGGAGAGACACAGTGCGAAGGCTTGCGAGCCACCGCAAATGTAGTACTTTATAACTCGCGGCGGAGGGCTTTTTGTTAGCCATTTACTATGTGTTTTTTGTACGTAGGGTCTATCCATGTTATTAAGGGCAAGAAATTTAATTGATGCACCAGGTCAACCTATTCAAAGCCAACCGAAGAACGCACACGATGTCTATGTAGCAAACCCATACTCCACAAGGCACTGGTCTGGAGTCGCACCACGCATCTAGGTTGAGGATGGCTGGGCAAATTTGGTAAAGAGAAGAGCGCAATGTCATGTGCAGCACGAAATTTTGAGCAGACTAGCTGTAGAGCTATCTCTGGGCGATTTTATGTGCGTAAAATCATGGCTATTGCTACAAAGGTACTATGGATACAGAGACGTCATTTTGTTGTGGCTGGTGTGTGGGTAACGCCCGATCTTGAAAGCTCGGCGCGGTGCGGCCACAAGGCGCAAATTGTTGAACGAAATCTGAATGCCGTAAGATACTAAGTGCGTTATTCTAGAGACAATATAGTAAAGAGAAAATCTAATGGCATAGGCAATGCATGCACAAGACAATGACCACGCCATGCTAAGAGGTCATGTAAGAGCTAAAAGCTGCGTCGAGCCTTTTATTGCTGTTGTCGGTCTCTCTGTCACGAGCCAGGCGAGCCTCGGCCTACTTACACTAACTTGCATATTTTAGTAAAGATGGAAATTTCCATGAAAAAAATCACTTGCATAACAGTTTAATGTGCATGGAGGTTACCAATATGTTCCAAAGTTTTTTTTTAGCGCCCGAACGCCATCTCCAAGTTCGGCCCAGTGGTCCGAGGCAGCGAGGGCCCCATCAGACTATTAACAATTTTCATCTCGTGTCCACTGACAGTAGCAGCATGGCGGCAGTGCCATGGTTGAGCTGATGTTGCATAGTTGAAGATGCCGCTGCGTGAAGTTCCGATATTGTTTGTCGAGGGAGAGAGTCATGCCTACCAATGTTAAGACACAATGCCAAGGTTCTCTCGAGACATGCGTCGCTTGATTCCGATGATTCGGAAACACAAATTTGAGCTTGGGCCAGTGTATGGATAGATGGATAAAATGGACCAAGAAGAAGGAATTGAATGCAGCAAAAAACAAAAACAAACAAAATTCCCCTGCGGAAAGCACATGACAGCTGGGCCGCGGTTCATGACACAAGCGTTGGACCTTGCCGTAGCCAAGCCAGGGGACCAGAGTGGGTTATTACATCCGGCCAGGCCGCGCCGCTGGGGTTGAGGCGTTTGGCCTTTGGGTGAAGGCGAGGTGGCAGTCTTACAGCACCTGTCCCAACAACCAGGCTTCTACAGATTTTGCGAGTGACACGAGGGCGAAGCTCTTGAGATAACAGGAGGCTTAAAATACTGGCAAATTACAAAAAAGATATTGACCCTGATTCTTGTTTCTCTTGATTTTTCTCTCAGCTTTCTCCGAGGTGTTTGGGCCGACGTCTCCAACAATTCCCAGGTACTTACCTACCAACTGCCCCGAGAAAGTCCCTTCGTCATTCTGTTAGTGGCCCCAGTGCCCTGTAACCGCCCTGCAGCCGTCCTGCAACAACCCCTGTAGCCGGCCCAACTGCCCCAACTGGCCTGCCCCAGCAGCCTCCTCTCGTGGGCCAAGGCACCTCAATCATGTGCTTCCTCTGCTGCTTCTCATACCCGATTTGACAGCCATTCCGTGACCACGCCGCCGCTGCCAAGACGGCGCTCAACAACTCGCTATTCAACCACCAAAACGCGCCTCGTCGCCTTTTGAGTCCTTTCTGCATCTACTTCTCTCTAGTCCTCTATTCGCATCGTCACAGTCACTTCCTTACTTCCTTCACTCGCATATTCGCGCTGCGCTCTCAAGCCGTGCCTGCGCCGTCTTGAGCTCCCCCGCCACTACCCGCCACGCCAACGCCTCACCCAGCGAACGACCTGCGACGGTCCGTCATCACTGCGCGAAACCAGCCTTGACCACTTGCCTCCTCGCAGGTAGCCAACAGCCTTTCTTGGCTCGCCGTTTGCCCACCGTTGCAAGTCTCAACGTCACATACTACTACCGCCGGGTACTACGGCTTCGAATCCGCCACTAAGAATCCCCAACCTGCATCACGCCTCTTGTCGCTCGTTTCGCTACACCAAATCTGCCCGCCGCGGCCCATCTGCGCTCGCCTCGCAATCTTACCTTTCCCACCGCGCCGCCACGGTAGCTATCTACCATGCAGTACGTGCGCAACATCAGCGACTCAGTGTCGACGGCCTGGAATTCAATCAACCCTGCGACCCTCAGCGGTGCCATCGACGTCATCGTTGTTGAGCACCAAGATGGCACCCTTGCCTGCTCCCCCTTCCACGTCCGCTTCGGCAAGTTTTCCCTGCTGCGGCCATACGAGAAGAAGGTAGAGTTCAGAGTCAATGGCTCTAAGCAGGAATATTCCATGAAGCTTGGCGAAGGCGGTGAGGCCTTCTTTGTCTTCGAAACCACAGAGACTATTCCCGAGTCCATGCAAACTTCCCCTCTTGTCTCCCCAGCTAGTAGCCCGCCTCTCGGCCCCGACGAGTCCGTCTCTCAACTCGGTCTCCCCGATCAATTTGAGCTGGATGCAGGCAGTACGGACCCCCGCCAAGCCTCCGAGGCTCACATGGATGAGAATGGTAAGCTCTGCAGCCCTGCCTGGTCTACATGCATCCTTGCTTAACATGCGCAACAGGATACCCCAGCCCATCACCGTCTCCCCTCAACTTATCGAATCCTCGACCTGCCTCCGGCGATTGGTCGGCTGCCCTCGCTCGTCCTCACAGCGAGGACGCCCTGCGCCATTCGGCTCGCGCCGTTGACCGTGATACCAGTGAAGCTGGCGAGCCAGGCTCCGAACGATCCCAGAGCCCTGCCCCGGTCAACATGCAAGAAGCCCTCGAACGAGCCAGGACACTGTCTCGCGGCCTCTCTGCCGTCAACATTCCCAGTCAAGTCACCGAGACTGGCGATCTCATGCTTGACATGACTGGCTTCCGAAGCAGCGAAGAAGACATGCTCCGCGCCGAGATCCAGGCTAGGAAGATTCTCTCCGAAGAGTTGGACGGCAACTACGACATCGGAGCTCTCTTTGGTTTCGATGAAGAAGGCAATTTGTGGATATACAGCAGCGAGAGTGCTAAGAAGGCTGCCATGAACAAAACCATTGAGTCTTCTCTACAAGCGCATCGCCACGGTGTCGCCGCAGACGCAGTCTCAGATCCCGGCTATCAAAGCGATGGAAGCGATGTAACAAGCTCCCCTCGCACTCCGGCCCATCGCCGCTCCGAGTCTGATGCTGGCCCTGTCGGCCTTGCGACGCCTCCCCGCACCCCTGCCGATGCTGGTGTTGGCAACCCGAACCGCAACTATGCCAAGACGCTTCGCTTGACTAGCGACCAGCTCAAGAAGCTAGAGTTGAAGTCGGGTGAGAATCCAATGAGCTTCACCGTCAATCGTGCCACGTGTACCGCCAACATGTATCTCTGGAAGTACGACACACCCGTCGTCATCTCCGACATTGACGGAACCATCACTAAATCCGATGCACTCGGCCATGTGTTGAACATGATTGGCCGCGACTGGACGCATGCTGGCATTGCCAAGCTTTACAGCGATATTGCCCTCAACGGCTACAACATCATGTATCTCACAAGTCGTTCCGTCGGACAGGCCGATACGACGAGAGCCTACCTCAATAACATTGTTCAAGAAGGTTGTAGGATGCCTCACGGCCCTACGATTCTGTCGCCAGACCGAACAATGGCAGCTTTGCGCCGTGAAGTCTACCTTCGCAAGCCACACGTCTTCAAGATGGCTACGCTTCGCGATATCGCCAACCTTTATGGCCCTGATCGGACACCCTTTTATGCTGGCTTTGGTAACCGACTGACGGATCAAATCTCGTACCGAACTGTCGATGTTCCACGGAATCGCATCTTCACCATCAACTCCAACTCCGAAGTCTCCCTTGATCTTCTCAGCTTGAATAAACTCAAGATGAGCTACGTGCATATCAATGAAGTCGTCGACCATTATTTTCCTCCCGTTTCTACCCTCGTCATGGGCGGTGGAGAGGATTATACCGACTTTAAATACTGGAGAGACACCCCCCTTGAGCTGGATGAATTCTCTGCCAGCGATAGTGATGATATTGCGGGGGCGGTCGACGAGGGTAGCGAGTACACAGACGACGAGGAGATGGATGAGCGTCTCGGGGAAAGTTATATCTCACAAGCCTCTGTTGAAGAGCTCGAAAGCCGCCTGGCTGCCTCGATGACGCAAAGCCAGATGGATGAGGATATCGACGACGAGGGTGATGTCGACGAAGAGGAGCCTCTCGATGAAGAAGACGATGACGCGGAGCCCGACGACGACATTGACGACAAAAAGATCATGAAGAAGAACGCAGCCGATCTAGAAGAAGATTACGCTGCAGAAATCATTACTGGGGTTGGTCATCTTTCCATGGACAAGAAAGAAGTATAAAGCAGACGTGCAAAAGAGTAAATTGGCTAAGAAACAACTCGGGCGGCACACAACACAGGGCAAGGGCATCACAGCACTCGACATCGGTGAAAGTGTGCCGCAAGTACTAGTACCAGTCGCGATTCGCTCCCCGTCCGAGTAACAGAAGAAAAAGACGATGTCGGATAATGTTGGGCGTTGGAGGATGGGTGGATGGAAAGAGGCGAAAGAGGAGGACGCATTTCATGTTGGAAGCATAGCGTGGCGCGCATATTTTTATTTCATTTCACATCTTATTTTCCTTGTCCCAGCTTCTTTTTTGTTTAATCTCTTCTCTTTCTAGAACACGGGCTGCTTCGGTTTGTAGAAGACAAGGGTGTGTGCAAGTATATAGATGTTGGTGGAAAACTGATACAATAGCAAAGAGAAAAGCAAATACATTCAATACCTCATCTCAACCGACTCAATAAACATGAAATTGCACGTGGTTCTACTAAGAGGAAGAATCGGAACCTTATCAGAGTTCTAGATAAGTGCGTGAGTTTGTTCAACGCCGGGGGGCGGGGGGTGTTGCTCCGCTCCCCTGAGACAAGATTAGCAGCACAAAGTCACATCGACGAAAGGAAAAACCAGTATGAACATGGAAGACTATATGGTACACTAGGCCATTGTAATACGGTATCTCATACACTTCTATACCCGGAGCTTTTTTGCCTTTGCAGACACAATGCCAGCCCTTTCCCCCCTCCCTACTATACTCGCAAAAACGCATACAAAAGAGTCGAAATGAGTTTTTTCTTCATTGTCTAGTGGAAAGGCTTCATCGTGTTTCGCAGACGCTGGTAGTCGAAGAGGGCCTCGATGTTGCCGACGGCGCTGATGGCGAGGTCCTTGTCCCAGAGGTGCTTGTTGGCAAAGTCCATGACGTCCTTCTCGGTGATGGCATCGATCCGGCGCTCGATCTCGCCGGGGCTCATGCGGCGGCCGGTGGTGATGAGCTGGCGGCCGACGTCCTCGGCGACGGCGGTGGTGCCGTCCAAGGAGAGCAGGATGGAGGCCTTGAGCTGGGCCTTGGCGCGCTCGACCTCGGCGCCGCTGACGTTGGTGCAGAGGCGCATCCACTCCTTGATGGTGAAGTGGACGAGGTCGTCCACGCGCGTAGTCTTGTCGGTGACAAGGTAGATGCCCCAGAGACTAGAAAGGATTTGTCAGCGTGATGTGCTAGTTGCCCGTTTCTTTCGGTTCGTGCTTACCCAGTATCGCTGTAGCTGGTGGAGAAGCTCATGAAGCTGTTGGCGAGGTCGTGGCGGTGGACGAATCCGCTCAGCTTGCTGCCCTGATGAGGAGCGTTGCCCATGGCCTTGTCGTAGTTGCCGACAATAGCCTGGGTGACGAGAGCAGTGAAGTAGTCTTCCGAGTTCCAGCTGACACCCTCGACGGCGAGAGCAATGTTCGCAGTGCCGATGGTGTCGTCACGGACACGGACGTCAGAGCCGATGAAGTCGGCCTTCTTCTTGGACTGGATGTAGGCCTCGTTCTCGACGCCCTTGCTGGGGAGGCCGGAGAAGTGCTTCTCGGCAAGGTCAACGAGCTTCTCGTGGGGGACGCCACCGGAGCCGACGAGGACCATGCGCTCGGCAGTGTAGTTGTTCTTGATATAGTTGGTGAGCTCGGTGCGGGTGATATCACGGATGTTCTCGCGGGGGCCGAGAATGGTGCGGCCGAGGGGCTGACCCTGGAAGGCGGTGGCGTGCAGGTGGTCAAAGACGACCTCCTCGATCTGCTTCTCGACCTCCTCGGACTCGCGGAGGATGACGTCGCGCTCGCGCTCGATGGCGGACTCCTCGAGCTTGGAGTTTTGGAGGATGTCGGAGAGGATGTCGACGCACTGGGGCACGTCGGAGTTGAAGGCCTTGGCGAAGTAGACAGTGTTCTCGCGCTGTATCGCGGTTAGCCGGCGATGCCGATGGGTCTCGTGGACGGAGTCAAGCACTGACCGAAGTGTACGCGTTGAGGTGAGCGCCAAGGTTCTCAATCTCGAGCTCCAATTGCTGCTGGGAGCGGCGGGCGGTACCCTGTAGGTGATGTTAGAGTCAATTGGCGACGTCATGGTTCGGCGAGGGTTGGTCGAACCTTGAAGGCAAGGTGCTCAAGGAAGTGCGCGGTGCCGTTGTTCTCGTTCGTCTCGGCGCGCGAGCCGGCGTCAATCCACATGCCGACGGTGGAGGTTTGGGCCCAGGGGGAGTGCTCGGTGGCAACCTATCAAGGGACGTGTCAGATGGTTGGGCTCAATGGCTGCTTGAAGGGGCCAATTGGCCCCCGTGTGATGATGCTCACGGTCAGTCCATTCTTCAGGGTTGTCGTCTGGGTCTTGCCGACAGTAGAGGGCGTCGCGAATCCTCGACGGAGGGGAGCGGCGGCCGACAGGCCGGCACGGTTTCGCAGACCCTGCGAGAGGTTCAAAGCTAGCCTGCGTGACGCCATGGGGAGGAGTTTGGGGGGGTTGACGTTCGATTGAGTGGTTTGATGAAATCTTTCCACACGGCTCGGCAAGAAGCTTTACTGTGCTAGTTTGTGGCCTGAGGTTCCAAGTTTTCGCCTTAGTCATTCCGACCAGCTCCGACTCCTGGGCAAGGATATCTGGCCAATCATGAGCCTTGCTTATCAACTAAGAGCAAAGCAAGCCGTCTACATTGCTTGTCAGCCTGAGCGCTGCAAGAAATCGGCTGGAAATGATGAAAATGAATATTTTGCAATTTCGAATACCCCAACTGATTCATCTGTCGAGATTGTAGGTCGGGCCAGAAATTCGGACTTTCGGGAGGGCGGCGGTGTCAGGTGGCAAAGTACTGCTGCGGATGTACCTACAGGTACCATGTGAGCCATGTGAACCATGTGAACCACGTAAATCACACAGACCCTTGCCAAGCCGTGCACACCAACAACACACACCGCAATACCAGTTTCGATAGACTTCCCAAGCTTCATCTACCATTAATATTTCATTCATCAAATACCATCTCATGTTGAGCCGTCACGTTTCTGCTATTGAAAAGTGAAGAATGCAAATCCAAGTTCACACTATTCCCCGCCTCGGTGATGTCACCACTGTGAAGACAAAGAAGCAACCCATTACCGCCGTCCTTGAAGTTCCCGAGCACTCTGCAAAGGAAGACTGGCAAGTTTTGCTATGGCACAGCACAGATGGAAATGAGTGGGAGGCCGTGAATATGGTTGCTATCACCGGCCACCAAACGGCGGTCGATTTGGAAGCGTCTCCATCGCGCTTACGGCTGCAGTTCCGAGCAGAAATGTGCTTTCATAAATCGATTCTATTTACGATAAAATTCCGCCATGCATCTGACCAGCCTTGGATATGGAGCAAACAACAGTACGGCTTTGAAGACGGTCATATTATAATGGAAGATGCAGACGGCACGTCTCAGCGATTGGAGGATCTTATCCCCAACCTTTGCTCAGAGTGGTCGATCTCAACTCTTCGAAGCCAGGCACCAGACACTCAACTATGGTCCTTGACAGCTAAAATAGGACCCAGTGTGTCAGAGCAGTCGACTTTCCGACATGTCGAAATTGGTACACCGTTTACGCGCTTTCAAAAGTACGTCTATGTAACCTCTGGATGCCTGGCAGAAATAATTGACACCAAAAACAAGATGGTTTGCGCTGGTCAGAACCGGTGTCCCATGGATTGCCCCGAGGAAAGGACTTACAAAGTTTGCACTCGATAAAGACGCAGTACTCTGCTCATTCGCTGATGGCAAGGGTCGACATTTGGTGTTTCTTGCCATGTCAGGGGTTGACGACGTCTTGACTTTGTTCCGCAGCACAGATTCGAACTCTATTACTCTTCGTGTGAGTCAGAAATCCAACACACAGGATCCATTATTAATGATCATAGGGTCGTAACGATGCTGCTGTGGAACGAGACCTCATGGTCCTGGTCTCGTCAGGTTACGACGTTGACAAAACCATGGCCGCCGTGATATACCATGCTAGGAGTCTGATCTGGAAATATTCTCAAGTCGGAACCCCACCAGTACAGTTGAATAACAGCAGCGATTTCAAGGCGCAGTGGCGTGAGAGTTGGTATGATGGACTGGGATATTGTAAGGTACCAGCTCCCAGCGCTGTTGTGATACTAACGAGGTACGGTAGGCACTTGGAACTCTCTCGGGCAGAATCTGGCAGAGGAGAAAATACTCTATGCCCTGGATCGGCTCGAGGAAAGTGGGATCAGCATTTCGAATCTCATCATCGACGATAATTGGCAGTCTATTGACGCACCGAACGAAGGCGGCGCTCAGCCTGGCTGGCTTGACTTTGAAGCGAATCCAGCCGGATTCCCCGATGGTCTCAAAGGCGTCGTCTCCAAGATACGCCGCACGCACCGCAGCATCGAGCACGTCTTTGTCTGGCACGCCCTGCTCGGCTACTGGGGCGGCATCTCCCCGCGCGGCTCCATCGCGCAAGCGTACGACACCATCCGCGTCGACCGCGAGGACACCCGGGCCGGCATGACTGTCGTCGCCCACGACGACATCTCTCGCTTCTACGACGACTTCTACACCTTCCTGATCCGCAGCGGCGTCGACGGCGTCAAGACGGACGCGCAGTGCGCGCTCGACGCCGTGGCCGGCGCCCCCACCCGCCGCGCCCTCACAAACGCCTACCTCGACAAGTGGTCCGTCGCCTCGCTGCGGCACTTTGGCGTCGCTAGCATCGCCTGCATGGCGCAGTTCCCGCAGGCGCTCTTCCACGCGCTGCTGCCGCGGACGCGCCCGCCGGTCGTGGCGCGCACCTCGGACGACTTCGTCCCCGACGGCCCGGCATCGGCGCACCGCTGGCACGTCTGGGCCAACGCGCACAACGGCCTGCTCGCGCAGTATCTCAACGTGGTGCCGGACTGGGACATGTTCCAGACGGCGCACCCGTTTGCGCACTTCCACGCGGCCGCGCGCTGCCTGAGCGGCGGGCCGCTGTACATCACCGACGTGCCCGGGCAGCACGACCCGGCGCTGCTGAGGCGCTGCACCGCTCGTACAACCTTGGGCAAGACCATCGTTTTGAGACCGAGCGTCGTTGGCATCGCGCTGGATCCGTACCTGGATTTTGATTCCGGGGCGCTGCTCAAGATTGGCAGCTTCCACGGTGAGCACATTCCTTCTCTCCCCGGCATTCTCTCCCTCGCTCTCTGTTTTAAAAAGCTGACACAAACCAACACACGCCAGGTTCCGGCAGCGGCGGTGTCTCCCTCACCGGCGTCTTCCAGACCTCCGACTTGCGCCGCCCAATCCTCGCCCCGCTGTCCTCCTCCTTCCGCGGCCTCCTTCCTTCCACCTCCTACGTCGTGCGCGCCTACACGACCGGACGCGTGTCTCCTCCCCTGACGAACCTCGACGAGGCGTCTCTCCTCCTGACGCCGAGCGCGGACTGGGGATACGAGATCTACGCCGCGCACAAGCTCACCCGTTGCCGCCGGGACGGCGAGGCGGCGATGCTGTGCGTGGCGAGCCTCGGGCTGGTGGACAAGATGACGGGCGCCGCGGCGATCGAGGCGAGCCACGTCGAGGTCGGCCGCCGCAAGGTGTCGGTCACGACGAAGCTCAGAGCTCTGGGCGTCTTTGGTAAGTCGCACATAATACGCGGGAGAGGGGCTTTGCGAAGCAACTCTCCCAAAAGAGAGGAACGAGATTGCTGACAGAAAACCCAGGCGTGTACATCTCCGAGCTGCCGAGGCTGACGATTGGCGACAATTTCATGGTGACCATCTTTGGCCACCCGGTGCCGCGACACACGGTGCGCGTGTCGCCGGCGGCCGAATCGGTCCTCGAGGTCGACGTGCAGACGGCGTGGACGGAGCTGGGACTTGACAGTGGCTGGAGCAACGAGTTGGAGGTTACGGTCAACATACTTAGAGCTTGATCTTTTTTGCTATTATTATGTCGCTTCTCGCTTTCTACAACTATATCTGAAAAAAAAAAATCAATTCATGTACTCGCCGCGGGGACTTTTCCGAGCCCTGCGTGGCGTAGTAGATGCCCCTGCTCTAGCAGCCCCTTTTCGATATTGCCAATGTTGCTAAACAAAAATGAAAACGCCATTGCCATATAAAAAATGTTTCATAGTTACAAAAAGTGTTTAGTCGAGCTCCACGACTGCGGGAGCCTGGATAGTCTTGCCGTTAAGCTTGTCTAAGCCTTCGCCGCCCTGTTGCGTGTCAGTGCATGTTTACTGCAGACGAAAGTGAAGGAACTTACATAGCTGATGAGGGGTGAAACCTCGACACCGCCGTCAGCAACGACGGTAGCACCAGCGGCCTTGGCCCACCGCTCGCCCTGGCCCATGATGTCCGCGCGGCTGGTATCCTCGTCATCCTGACCGGTGCCCTTGGCGTTCTTGAGCGGGGAGAACTCATCCTCGCGCTGGACCTCCATACAAGCAAACTTGTCAAGGGGCAGCATGGGAAAGACGTCAAAGACAAACTGCTCGAGCTTGATGCCGTTGGGCTTCTCAGGCTTGACGGTCTCGCCAGTCTCGAGGTCGGCGGCAGGGATCTTCTTACGAGCGACGTGATGGGGCAGCTTGTGCGCCCACTGGGGGATGGACTCGAGGAAGTCGAAGGAGTAGTAGTGGTTGACAATGTTGGCGGCGCGGAACTTGAGGACGCCTGGCTGGGCGGGGTCCTCGGCCTCGGCGGTGGCCTTGTCAATCTCGGAATATTCGACAACGTCGGGCTTGCCGTTACGGGAGAGGATGAGGCCGACAGACTCGGTGGCGTTGCGCTTGCGAACCACCTTGGTGGCGATGTCGACTTTGTGAGCGGCGGAGAAGCCCAGGAAGACGGGGTCGGCGACCTTGACAAGGCAGTTGTCGACACAGTAGGCGTGGATGTGCTGGATGCCGCGCTTGCGCATGTCGTCGATAATGCCCCAGAGGATAAGAGCCTGGTAGATGCCACCGTTGCCGTCGGGGGCGACGGCGACCTTGGCCTTGGACTCGAGGAGGATCTTGCCTTCGTTGGAGATGCAGGGCAGGACGCCTTGCTCAAAGATGCGGACGTTGGCGCGGTCGAGGCCGAAATAGTTGTTCTTCTCAAAGAACTCCTCAGTTGGTTGGCGAGTCGGGCCGCTGGTCATGACATACCAGGGAACGACGACGCCTTTGGCACCCGACTTGGCGGCGGCGAGCCCCTGGACCTTGCGAATGCGCTCGGCCTGGATCTGGAAGAGGGACTTGTGGGAGGGCAGACCAATGTCGTAGCAGCCCTTGGGGGCGGAGCTGCCGAGGCGGGTGCCCTGGCCGCCGGCCATGAGGACGACGGCGACCTGGTTCTTGGCAATGAGGTCGAGGCCAGCATCATTCCATTTTGTGAGCTCTTCGGGCTTGGAGTCGAGGATACTAGCGGTGGCGGACTCGGGCAGGGGCTCGAGGACGGCGGGCTGGCTGTTGTTTGTCTCGGCGGGCTTGAGGGCGCGTTGGGCGTACTCGTTGATGCGGACGGGGTCGAAGCCGGAGAGCTGCTCGAAGAGACCAGCCTTTTCATCGACGGCGAGGGAGTCGTAAAAGGTGAAGACGTGGCCTTGCTCGGCGTCTGTGTATTTCTGCTTGAGCTCGGCCACGTCCGAAGCGGCGGGCTCGGGGCGAGGAGCGCCATTGGAACCAATGTGCAGAGCTTGCTTGATGGCCTGCATCTTTGCGGTGTGGTGTATGTGTGATGGGGTATGTGTGGGATGGAGGACAGAAGGAGCTGGGAGAGAAGAAGAAGAAGAAGAAGAAGCTGGAATGTAGAGCTGATGAATGCCCAATGGTTGCACGTGGGTTAGGCGGAAAGATTGGAGAGGTCAATTGGGAGCAAGAGGATGCGAGTGGTGAGGCGAGGCGAGGCGAAGGCAAGGCGCAGGTGCAGCGGCAATGAAAGACGGTGACGACAGAGGTGGGGTTGGCTCAAGGGGTTGTTTGCTGGCTGTGTAGATGGTAAGACAGAAGAAGAAATTATCAAGTAGTAATATTCCAAAGAAGACGTGATATACAGGAAGGGGAGGATTGAATAGTTGGGAGATAGTTGGAGGGGGAGAAGCAACTTTATTTAGGTTCTAGGAGGGGTACCCAAGGCTTGGGCAATGGGCCGCCTTTTAGGTGGAAGCTTTCTCAAGCTGGTGGCAGCTACCTATGTATGTACCTCGTAACTGCTACTACTGAGGTACCACTACAAACTCGTAAACTGGCTACACAAGTATGGGGGGCTGACGTCGTGGAACCAGATTAAAGCTGGGCAAAAAGAGGGAGAAGCACAAAAACAAGAAAGGCCACCCAGCTCATTGTGCTCTGCACAGCAAAGCTGGAGGATGAGCGAGGCGGAGGCGCAGAAAAAGAGAGGGGTTGATGGTCCTTGACTGGTCCCTTGTTCCTGGTGGGGTACTTGCGGGCTGTCCGGACAACCCTGCTAACGCTTTGCGTGGCCAATCTTTTGGTTGGGAACCGTTGCTACTATTTTTGGTTCATCGAAGAAAATGATTTTCAGGCATAAATTTTCCAAGTATTTTCTTTGCTGCTAAAGAGAATAGTCCATTACCGTTTACAATAGACTTGAGAAGCTTGGGGATATGCAGTGGTAGGCTAACTGGCTAGAGTAGCCAAGCTTGCAGTTACAGAGCAGGGAGTGTGTCCCATGTACATACGCATGTACAGTACAATGTTACAGCATGGGAGGCCCGTACAGTCCAGAGGCGATAAGTTCTGTCATGAATACCAATCAGTTCTGGTGAATGATCTCTCCAATCCGCCCAGATCCGAAATCAATAATCAGCTCGTAGACGGCATAGAGCATGAACTGCAGCCTGCGTCTCTCAACAGCCATGACGCCTCAGGCCCGCTGCCCCTCGTATCCAGAAACACGGATCGACAGCGCGTCCTGAGAATACCCGCACCGCACCACCCCATGCTGGCCCTCTCTCGTCCGATTTTGAGCCAGCCGTGAAGTGAAATTAACCAACTATTTAAGCCATCATTTCCGGCACACTTTATACCAGTAGCAAACGATTTTTATCTTTCATGCATGTGTTGGCTTCTTGCCAGTCAGCCTCGTTTTGCGCCGAGGCTGTGTGGCTGCACCATCTTGGAAAATCCCATCTCACCAATCGCCCAATCGCCATCTGGCATGCACTAGTTAGCCCAGGGGCTATTCTTGCAGTCAGCCGCAGAGCCTCGTCTGTCTGTCAGCGAGGCTCGCTGTAACTAATAAGGTAGTTATTTACAGTGGGTGTACATACATGTGTAGGTAATCCCCAGGTCTTCGCCCTTGCTTGTGAAAGAAAGCCCGCCCACCCACTGGCGGCTGCTGCGCCTCACCCAAATTTAGAAACCGGTGGTGAGCTGGCTGCGCACCAGTACGGTGTATGTACGCATAGAGCGAAATAATATAGACGAATATTTGTAATTTTTATTGAAACTTGGTTTTTGGTCGTTGGCGTTGCATTCGCATCTTGCGTCTGGAGATTCCGTTGAATGTTCGCAAACGCCGCTCTGGCAAAGTATGGTTCGTAGATCCGTCATCGCAACGCCACCAAACATATTTGCCCTATGGGACAAGAACAAAATAGGAAACACGATAAAAATGGCTCGCGAGACCAAAGCAAACCATTGCAATATTTTCTCTCACGAACATTCACATCATCTGAAATTTGGCGTTGTAAAGAACACTCACCATTTAATTGCCACCACGCACACACGTCTCCTGACAGCAACCTCAAATCTCAGCCGCAATTCGTACCATAGCTTCTGTCCATCAACACCACACTGCTGCCTATCAGTGAAAGCCCCAGAAGCTGCCAGAAGCGCACTCTCAGCAATGCCTCATCATCTATAACGACCGTGTTTACTCTACTCTCATGATGGGGTCCCCCAACCCAGACCTGGAGCCAACCACCAGCGACAACCCATCATCGCCGCCGCCTCCGCCCTCCACCTTCCACGGCCGGCTGCAGCTCACAGACTTCATGTACCAGCCCGGAGACACGCCCGCGCTCCGGCGCAGCCCTCGGCACGCCTCCGCCGCTGTGCCCACCCGCAGCACCTCCTCCTCGCCCGTGAAGCGCGCACGCTCCCGCAGTCCCGCCTCCCCCAAGAAGAAGAAGAAGAAGAAGCGAGCATCCTCTGGCTACGCGCCGCCGTCCACGTACGCGCACCTCCCTCTCCTCCCCGACGCCCTACTCCCGGACCTTCTCGTGCTCTTCGTCGGACTCAACCCGGGCCTACAAACCGCGCGCACCGGGCACGCCTACGCGCACCCGACCAACACCTTCTGGCGCCTCCTACACGCCTCTGGCGCCACGCCGGAGCTCTGCGCCGCCGAAGACGACGCCCTCCTGCCCGCGCGCTTCCGCCTCGGCCTGACCAACATCGTCGGGCGCCCGAGCCGCAACGGCGCGGAGCTCAGCCGCCGCGAGATGGACGACGGCGTCGCAGTCCTGGAGGCCAAGATCCGCGAGTACAGGCCCGAGGCGGTCTGCCTGGTCGGCAAGGGCATCTGGGAGAGCGTGTGGCGCGTGCGGCATGGCGGCAGGGCGGTCGGGGAGCGGTTCAGGTACGGATGGCAGGAGGAAGAGGAGAACATGGGCGTGGTGGAGGGTGAGTGGGCTGGTGCGAGGGTGTTTGTGGCGTCGAGCACGAGTGGCCTGGCGGCGACGCTGTCGCCAGCGCAGAAGTTGGAGATTTGGAGCGAGTTGGGAGCTTGGGTCAAGATGCGCCGGGCCGAGCGTGAAGTGGCAGCCGAGAGAGAGGCCGCTGCGAGTGTTTGAGTCTTGTATCTATCTCATCTACATGCATGCACATACCGGCCACATATCATGATCACGATTTCGGGATAACATATCCCGTATTGGAATATAACAGTTTTTTTTTAGTATTTCGGTCTAGCTAGCAAACATATCTGTAGTCAAAATCTTTACAGACGCCTCTCGCTCTTTTACTTAACAAACACGGTACTACAACTCCGTGACGCCGATAAATCCCAAGCTATTCTACCCGAAGAGCGCCCTCTCATGCCCAGGCGCTTTCCAGTGTATACACTTTTTCTTTGTCTTGAATCATAAAGCCTTCATTGCCAAAAGCCCCCCAATCACTACTTGCAGCGCTTCTCCACAATGTTGGCACCGTTCTCTTCGTACTCCTTTCTCGAGATCCACATCTGGTGGAAGGTTCCCAGGCTGGCCAGGATACTGCCGCCGATCCACGGCGCGAAGCGGCGCTCGCTCGTCAGGCCGGCCGCGTGGATCTTGATCTTGAGACCCGGGTACATGGCCGTCAGCTCGTTGTTGAGTCGGTCGTTGAAGCCGTTGATCAGGCTAGTGCTGCCCGTCACCACCACGTTGGCCAGCAGGTTACCGCGCAGGTCGACGTCGACGCCGCTGAGCGACGTCTTGATGAGTTCCGGGATCGTCTGGCCCTTGGTGAGACGCTCCGACTCGGCCACAGGCAGGCCCGCGTTGTCGTCAAAGAGGCCCTCGGTCACCTTGAAGCGCTGCTCGCGCCACATCTGGTTGTAGCCGTCTGGCATCTCGAACACGCGGCCAGGCTGGGTCTTAACGTAGTCCTCATTTCCGGGGGCGCCAAGCTTGCCGGGTCCGCGCCACACCTCAACCACCGACTCTTTGAACTCGGTCAAAGCGCGCTCCTCCTCGTACAGCCTGAACGAGTCGCTGACCTGGAAGGGGAACTTGCGCTCGCGGTACTGCGGAGGCGCTAGGGCATCGACTGGCGTCTTATTTTCAATAAGGTATGTGGGAACCAGGCTGACCTGGGGCTCCGACGTTTGCCACAGGCTGCGGATCTGGGAGGAGAGCCAGAGACCACCGGCGGGAGACCGCTGGACTGAGCGCTTCAGAACCATGCCGTCGTGAATAGCGGTGACAGAAGTGTTGGCGCCACCAACGTCAATGACAAGCGCAGTGGCCTTGCCAGCAGCGAACGCGGCCAGTACTGGTGTCTTGCTGAGCCAGAACGCAGGGCAACCCCAGTTCTCCATTACCAGCTCAATGGCCTTTTCTCTGTTCTTGGCCGTGTTCCACGGCGCCTCTGTAATAAGAAGAGGGTTCTCCTGCAGCGGCTTTTCTTGCGTCTCGGCCTCCTCCATCGCGACGTCGCCCTCGGTGTCGGCTTCCTTGGAATCGTCGTTGAGACCATTCTTGGACGGGTGTGTCGGGCGTTCGGGTTGCAGGCGCTTAATCAGCATGTGTTCCCACACCTTGGTGGCCACGTCCCAGTCCTCAACAACGCTGTCGCGGTTCATGTAGTTGCGAATCTCGAAATCGGCGCGAGGGATCAGGCACTCGTCGCCAAACACGTCCTTGGGAGGATCGCTCGTGACATGGCCGTAGAAAGAGGGCAGCACTGATTTGGGCACGTCTTCGCCGGCGAAGCCTGCGCGTGTGGTGCAGTACCCGGGGTCGAGCACGAGGGCTGATACCTCATCTATGAAGGAGGCGAGTTAGCGGGCGAGAAGAACAGGCATTGCGACGGGCGCGCGAGCCGCACGCGAAGGGAGAAGGATGAGCTGTACCTCCACCGTAAATGTCGGTCGGCTGGGCCGTTGTGGGCAAAGGCTGTTGCGCCATGTTTTCTGAGGTTGCGATGATGCGCAATGCGATGCTGGAGCGCCAATTGGACAAGTAGAGTTGTTCGCGATGCAAGACGGTTGGTGGTTCGCGGTTTGAGTGAAACCCAAAGCTCCCAGCCCGCCAAAGCTGCTTGGTGGGGAGTTGTGACTAAGCAGGTGTGGATATCTCGCCGCGGTACTAGAAAAATGCGCGACGGCTCTTAATTTTTCTTCCTCCTGCTCTCTTCAAGCAGCTTCTTCCTATCCTCGACGAGAAGTTCCTTCGTTTCGCGTCCAAACTGGCGCTATTTATATGAAACGATGCTATGAGCGTAAGTACAACCACACTATCTACTTCCACACCCCCTCTTTCATGATGACTTCGCATCTTCGCTTCAGAACCGCTGCGATTGACACAGCTTGCTGTGTATGATTACACAATGCCAACCTCTGATCATTTTACCACACCCTCCACTCTCTTGCTGCAGGTCTTTGTTCCGATCACAAAGCTAATACATCAACAGACTATGATATCTCGTAATTGCTTGCGGCACTGCCGCGCAGTAGCTGGCCACATCTCTCGTGTGAACCCGGCTCTTCTGCGCGGCTTCGCTCTATCTAGACAGAACGTTCAGACTTTTGCCTCCGTACCCGACTCGAAAAATGGCAGGCCCATACCTCCAGAGTCTCGTGACGAGGACGAGCATGCGTCGCCCTTTAAGCAGCAGCGTCGGTCAGACCTGGGCCAAGACCAGGCGAGCGAATCGCCTCTCTACCCTGAGTCTTATCCGCGCATAGAGTCATCTGAGGCTCGCATGGCTGTCCCAGAATTTCTCGAGAGTGAAGGGAACGAGCTGTCTCAGCCTCTCGTCAACCTGGTCGGCCGTGTGCGCGCTAAGCGTGTCGTTGGCAAAAATCTCGTCTTTCTTGATATCGTAAACGAGTTTCAAAAAGTGCAAATCGTGGTGAATAAGTCCAAGTGCGTCGAGCCCTTGGACAATGTCTGTACACACAACTCCAAGAAGTTTCAGCTCTTCAGGTCGCTCATCCAGGTCGGCGACCATATATGTAGGCCATCTATCCTCTAGACATCCCAGTCCTGGTCGCCTATGCTGACGCTGCCACAGCCGTCAATGGTGTTCGTGACCATACACCCGCTGGTCTGTTGACCCTCGCTGCGCGACAGATCCCAGAGCTCCTGTCGCCGACGATGGAGCAAATACCCGAAGTTCTCACCGACTCCAAGACCAAGATGCAGGATCGCCACGTAGACATGCTTGTCAACAAGGAGACTGTCGATGTCTTGCGTCTTCGTTCCGAAATCACAAAACACATGCGCGACCATTTCCATTCGAAGCGGTTCCTCGAATTCCAGACACCCATCCTAGCGGAGAACGCTGGAGGCGCAATCGCCCGACCCTTCGTCACACGCGCCACCGAGTTTAAAGATAAAGACCTCGCACTTCGCGTGGCTCCGGAGCTCTGGTTAAAGCGGCTTGTCGTTGGTGGCGTTGACAGAGTCTTTGAGATTGGCCCTGCCTTTCGAAATGAGGGTGTCGATGCCACACACAACCCCGAGTTCACAATGTGTGAATTCTACAGCGCATACTCTAGTCTCGCAGATCTCATCAAAGAGACGGAGGAGCTTCTCACCAGCCTCGCCAAACACACGCAAAAGCTTATTGAAACACAACTTACCTCTCTTCCACCAATCGATCTACAAAAGTTCAAGCGGCCATTCAAGCAGGTCGAGTTCGTGCCTGCTCTAGAAGAAGCCACTGGCGTTCGGTTCCCAAAGTTATCCGCCGAGGATGCACTCCCAGAACTTCTCGCTCTCATGAAACTGGCCGGCATTGAAATTCCTGGCGATATACCCACTTCACTACCCAGGCTCCTCGATCGACTGGCCGCCATGTACATAGAGCCCAAGTCGTTTGAAGAGCCTCTCTTCATCATCAACCATCCGGCTTGCATGTCGCCTCTGGCCAAGAGCTTCCTGTGCCCCAAGACATATCAACTGGTGTCAGCCCGTGCAGAGCTGTTCGTGGGGGGGCGAGAGCTCGCCAACATGTATGAGGAGGAAAACGATCCCAAGGAGCAGCAGCGGAAGCTTACCTCGCACCGTAATCTGGTCAACCTGGACGATGGTGACATTGGCATCAACGCGCCGGAGGAGAAGCCGCCAAGTGAAGAGGTGTTCCAGGACGAGGCGGCCTCTGAGGACGCGGTAGAGGTGGATGGGGTGGAGAGGGAGGGAGAGACGGACCAAGAGGTCTTTGACAAGCACATGAGGAGGCCAGAGGAAGAAGATGAATGGGCTACGTCGCCGCTGGATCGAAGCTACATCAAAGCGCTGGACTACGGCCTCCCTCCTACGGGCGGATGGGGCTGCGGTGTTGAGCGTCTTGTGATGCTGTTTTCTGGCGCGACTCGCATCAGCGACTGTCTGAGCTTTGGCACGATCCGAAACGTGGTTGGCCTGTCGTCTGACGCAGCCAAGAAGGAGGGCGGCAAGCACTGACCGTGTGTATAATACACCGTGTGTGTAATACCAGCGACGATGTCGCGTGTATATTTACTTACCTTGGAATCTAGACAACATAGAGTTGAAGAAGTGTAACAAAACAAATATATGTAATACATACCTTGAAAAGTGTCGCTACAATACACAATATGAGAAGTGTCACCATGATTCATAACATGAGAAGTGTCGCCTTGAATGTCTTGGGGTGTAGTGTACATGGATCAATTGAAGGGAAGATAAGGTACATATATATGTATAATAGTTCAACAAAGAAGAAGAGAACCTCCAGTAGATGACCCGGCACGGGCTAATATTCAAGAAGAAGAGAAAAAAGATGGGAATCGAAGATATCAAGAGGCAAGCCTTTCCACCTCGTGCTCGTGAAAACATACCTCAACGCACTCACTCACTTTTGGTTACCTTTGCTGAGCAGCTTCACCCCAAGAGGCCGCCAGCAACCTGGAAGACGCTCGAGACGATCTTGCCCGCGACACCACCATCCTTCTGCGGCGCCGCCGCCAACCACCCCTCCACCGCCTTCGCGTCCAGCCCCTTTGCAAAGTCCGTCCCCTTTGGCAGCAATCGCACCGACACGCCGCTCTCGGCGCTAAACACCACCGCGCCCTTCACAAAGGCATCGGTGGGCCGCCGGAAGTAGTCGGAGGAGCCGCCGGCGCCGGCGCCGGCGGCGAGGTGGACGGTGCTCTTGCACTTGTCGTCGCCGCGGGCGAGCACCTCGAAAAAGTCAAACTCGCCGCAGGCGGGCCAGCAGCTGCACTTGTTGTACTGGGCGGTGCGCGGGACGCGGGCGTTGAGCGCCCAGATGGCGGGCATGTCGCCGTTGAAGCCGCGGTCGCCGTCGAGGGGCATCTTGAAGTGGAAGAGGAAGATCTTGTTTGCGCCCTCGAAGCCCTCTGCTAAATGTCAGCCTTTGTTGCTTCTTCTTGTTCTGTTTCTTGAGTGGGTGTGCGCGAGAGAAGCCGCAGCTGCCGTCGCAGGCTTCGCCGCTGAAGATGGCAAACTCCTTGTTGGAGGGGATGGCGACGTCGGCGAGGACCTGCGACGAGGAGGCGCCGCCGTTGCCCTGGGCGTTGAGGAAGGCGAGCGAGTTGCCCCAGGTGCTGTGTTCTGTCAGTCCAAGATGCCCCCCTCCCCTCCCTCCCTTCACAAGTGTTCAAAGACTTACGTGTCAAAGGTGCCGGAGCCGGCTCCGCCGTAGTTGCCCAGGAAGACGAGGTTGTCGGCCTGCTGCGACTCGGCGCTGTAGTACGAGGTGCGGTCCCAGTCCTTGCCCGAGGGGGAGGAGCCTCCTCCGGTGGGCGGCTTGGACTTGGGCAGGGCCGGGGGCGCGGCGGCGGCCTTGGAGTTGGCCGGGGGCGGCGTGGGGGCGGCGGCGGCGGGCACGGGCTTCGGGGTCGAGGTGGCTGGCGTGCCGCCGCCGAACCAGTTGTTCTCCCAGGACACGATCTTGCCGTCGATGGTGGCCGTCACCCAGTCGGCGCGCTTCTCCTTCCTGGCCTCGTGGAAACGCTGGTGGCCGTGGCCGTGGGCTCCGGCGGACTGCTCGCGACGCTGCTGCTGCGGCGTGGGCTCACGCTTCGCCTTTTTGGAGGGTGTGTAGACGGCGAATTCCTTGAGCTGGAGGGGTCCACGGAAGTGAACAGAGAGCTACCACCGCGTGTTAGTGGGAACGAGAAGGGTCCTTGGGGGGGGGGGGGTGAACTTACCCCCTCGTCAAAGGGGGGGAGTCTTGGAAGGACTTGGTCTCGCGCTGGCACTCGCCGGACGAGGTCATGCCGGTGACGGCCTGGTAGGTGCCGGGCTTGCCGATACCCTGGTAGAGGATCTGGTCGACGGCGCCGCAGAAGAAGTTGCCGCCCTCGTTGGAGGCGGTGCCGCTGCACTGCTGGGTGAGCCCGGCGACGAGGGTGGCCAGACCGGTGGCGGCCAGAGGGATCGCGACGTGTCTCATGCTCGTCGACTGAGAGAAAGTGGTGGTCTTTTGGGGGATATCAGAGAAGCTGGGGTTGGTTGGTTGGTGTAAGAGAACTGGCGGGGAGAGTTGCTGCTGCGTGTTGTTACGGTGGAACACGGTGGACTCTTGGGCGCGTCGTAAATGGGTAAGGACCGGCAGGCGACTTCTTCACGTATGAGACTCTCACCGGGGGAGTCGAATAAGAGCAAAAGCGAACAAGTTGGATGGGGGGACGAAGCAGACAGAGGAGGGACCGAGAGGGAGAGGGGAGGGGAGGGGAGGGGAACAAAGCAGCAACGGGGAAAGTATTATATGGGAGGTCATTCAGTTCTAAACCGCTGGGGCCAGAAGAACTAGGCTTCTGGAAACGAAAATATACTTTGTACTTTGTAAGCGCCGTCGTCCATGTTCGCCGAGTCGCTTGGCATGGTATGGTGGTTGGTTGACACTGGATGGGTGGGTGTCAAAGGCCAGACAGACATTCCACCAGCGACACACCAGGTAACTACGAGCATTAACACAATAAAATTCATTCGGCAAAGTACCTTGGGAAGACGGAGCCGAAAAAAGCAAAAGTTTCGTTTCTAATTGTTTCCCCACAGCATCGGACTTGGCGCCAGGGGCGACATTGTCTACGTATGTGTTGGTGGTAGTACCAGTAAGAGTTCTTTTTTCGGCCCATTGGTCTCGCGCTGAGACTGGTAGGGTCCTGCGGGGTTTTTCATTATTTCATTTGTTTTCAAAGGTATTCATTGCCTTGTAGAATGGATAACACGCACTCCAATACACTAATTCACAGTTGTTGAGCTATAGGCGCTCTGTGTGACCCTCTCCCTGCTACCCCTTTGCCGCCTGCATGCTGAAAGTCTATCAGTAACCAACCAACAGGGTCTGTCTGCCTACCTATGTACAATGTAACTTCCTATGAGGCCTATGAGGAGGACCAAGTTACCGCCGAGCCACCACCACAACTGTTTCGGTAAAACACCCCCTGAACGTTTTCGAGGCGCAGCTGGGCTGGCACTGAGAAATACAGAAATACCCAGAGCAGGCTGGGGACACACAGTCACAGTCACATACACAGACACATCCGTACATGCACATGCACATGCACCCTCGACCTCTCATGCTTGGCGCCACGGCGCCACGGCGCCAATAGCCTCGGGAGGGGGCCAGCCAGTCAATACATTTTTCAGGGTTTCTTATTATTATTAAGATTATCGGTATTATTATCTCGCTTGGCAGGGAGCTGGGGGAAGCAAACAGAGCGCAGATTCCAGCCCGCTCAGGGGAATCCCCCAAATCTCGCCATCACCCCTCCTCCTCCTCCTCCTCCTCCTCCTCCCCCCCTCGTCTTCCTTCTTTGTTTCAAGCTTCCCTCTTCTTTTTGGCCCTCCTCTGGCCTGAACCTGAGAAAACGTGTCTCACTTTGACATCCTTCTTTTTTTTGGCAACCCTCGCGTGGCTGGGCACCAAACCACACGCACCCCAGCACTGCACTGGAATGCGGGCGCCTTTGTCCAGTCCCCCCCTCACCGGGAGTCGACTTGACATGCACTCTAATATATTCGTAGGTATTTTTCTACGGTTACCACGGTGCGAGGCATGGATACGTGATGCGACGGGAAATGCCTCCCAGCCTCGCACAGACTTGGCATTGCGACCCTGGGCGGTGTCCACGCTTTGTCTACTGGCATCTCAGGAGGGAGTATTTACTTGGCGGTATAGCCACCGTGACCATAGCAGGCTCTAGATGGGCGTAGCGAGGGCTTTTGATGCACGGTTTTCTCGCTAAACTACCGACGGTGTTCATTAGGTAGCAGGGCTTTGCTGAATAGAGATAGATCTACCGTGTAATAGCGGACGTCTAACAACAAGGTTCCAAAATCTGTGCCTGAGCTAGCCTGGTATGGCTGATCAGGGAAGCGGTGCCTGGATCAATAAGTCACTCCGGGGCTTTGTATTTCATGTTCACATCTCTACTCATATTGCCAATGATAATCGGGATGGCTATGTGCGGCCATCTCATCCTCGCCACCGCGATCCTTACATGTGTCGTGCCGCCCTGTGAAACCTTGAATCAACTCTTAATCAATCATATGAATCAACCCTTTGAGAACGGAACATGGCCTTTTTACCATTAATGCACGTATATGCTCGCTAGACCTACTCGTCAATGCCTCCCCACTCATCCTCATCACCGCTCTCATCCCCCCTCGTCGTCTTGCGCCGCTTGCTACCCTGGATCGCCCCTTGCCTGTTATTCTCCCTGCGCCTGTCGTAGCCGCTCGTCGACGTGATCGCCGCCCCCTTGCGCCGCGACTCGATCCCGCGCTCCCTCAGCCTCTTGCGGTCCTTCTTCGCCACGTCCGGCAGCGCCTCCAACAACCACCGCTGCACCGCCGTCCCCGCCCGGCCCGCCTGCCGCTCGCTCGCCGCCACCACGTTGGCCACCGTCTTGACAAAGGGGATGTCCTCCTTGGTGTACAGCGTCACCGCCACGCCGCCCTCCCGCCCTGCCCGCCCCGTCCGCCCCGCGCGGTGCACGTACGCCGCGCTCGACCCGGGCACGTCGTAGTTGACCACGCCGTTGACGCCGGCAAAGTCGACGCCCCGCGCGAGCACGTCCGTCGTGATGAGCACCCACACCTCGCCGGCGCGGAAGCGTCGCATGATAGAGGCCCGCGCCGACTCGCGCAGACCGCTGTGCAGCGCCGCGATGCGCGTCGCGCCGCCAGCCTCCAGCGGGATGTCGTACTTGAGCTCCTCGGCGAGCGCCGCCGCCCGGTCGATGGTCTGCGTGAAGACGATGAATGGTGGGCGTAGGGGAGGTCCCGAGTCGTCTGCCGTCGTGGGGTGTAGGAGCTGCCGGAGGGCGAGCAGCTTGCCCTGCTCGCTGGCCGTGTATGTGAGTTTGTGGACAACGTTGGGTACGGCGGTGTCCTTTAGGCCGACGACCAGGCGGACAAACGGTTTAGGTTGCACGCCCAGCCCGTCGGCTCGTGATTGTAACTTGTCCGTGACGATGGCTTCGATATTGGACCCCATCGTCGCGGACCAAAATGAGACTCGCAAGTTGACGTTGGTGCATGCAGACCATACTCCCATTGTCTGTTCACGGAAGAGCACATCCAGGAGGACATCCGCCTCGTCGAGAATGAGGTCTCTCACATCGGGTAGTACGCGGTGCGTCGTCGTAGAGCCGGATGTGAGAAAGTTTAGTAGCAGCTGTGGTGTGGTGACCAGGATATCAGGCTTCGCCGCCGTGGCTTTGTTACTGCGCTTTGGTGTTTCCTCGTCGTCGTCGTAGTCCTCTTCCTCGTTCTCCTCGTCGCTCTCCTCGTCGCTCTCCTCGTCGCTCTCCTCGTCGTCCTCGTCACTTTTGCTTGATTCCTCCACATCGTGCTCCTCCGTGTCAAGGTTCATCTGCTTCTTCATGGCCATGATCTTGATCCCGGTTCCTTGCAGTAGCTTAAGTCCCTCATTCACAATCTGATGAGCCAATTCCCTTGTAGGAACCAGAATGAGTGCCTCGAGACGGTGTTGTGTCGTCGTCGCGTCGCGGTCGTTTGCGTCCATGCCTCTCCGTCGCATGATTTCATTGATGGCCGGGATGAGGAAGCTAATCGTCTTGCCGCTTCCGGTCGGCGCCACGGCCAAGAAGTCGACGCCATTCTCCAGGCCCTGCGCGTCGCAGTCTCCCAACGCCTGCTTGGGCTTGAGAAGTAGCGGGAGGCTGCCGAGTTGCACCTCGGTCGGCACGCGGTAGCTCTGCGCGACCAGGTTCTCGGAAACGCGCCGCGAGATCCCGTACGTGCTACGGAGCTGACCAAACGTCTCCAGCGGCTGCGGAAACAGCTGCGCCTTTTTCTTGTCGTCCTTTTTGGATTCCTCAGCGGCCGCCTCCTTCTTCTTCTTCGTCTTCTTGCGCTTCTCGGCCTTGTCCGGCTCCTCTTCCCGCTTCGACAGGAGCGTCACCTTGAGACGGTGAGACCTCAGGATCTGGCGGCACTCTTCTTGTGAGATTCGCTTCGCGGGCTTTGATACGGGGCTCGAGGTTCGATCGCCGCCGCTCTTGCTCGTCGAGTTGGCGGTGGTGGCGGGTGGTTCGGATTTGGGGGCGAAGAAGTCGACGTCGGGCAGCTCCTCCGCGGCAGAGTCTTGAGGGGACTGCTTCTCCGTCTTGGACCGTTTTCGCTTCTGCCCGCGCACCTCGTCGTGGTAGAGCTGCGGGTTGGTGGCCGCGACGCCGGTCGACGAGGGCAGTTTGGCGGGCGCATTGGCAGCGTGGCCTGCGCCCTTGGCTGTGCGCTTCGTGCCGCGGGACAGCACCTTGAGAATATCCATGCTATCTCATATGCTAATGAAGCAGACTATAACCGGATAAATGGTAGCGGGCCGCACGTGTGCTCGTTTTGGTTGTTTGTATATTTCTAAGGAAAATGGAAATTTTACAACCCTGGAAGCTTCAACTTTTTTCTGGGTCCCGCGGGTTTGGTGGGGGCAGATCTCTGGCGACAGGGAGACCATCCAACGTTAACTATGTACATACATACAACTTCGACTAAGAATGTACCAACAACACGCCTCGCCAAATTCTAAAATGGACCTTGGCCAACCTTGACAATTTTTTCCGAGTTTGACTGAAGACTCCTGATAGCAGGCATGTGGTCGGTTCTCTATGAAGCCTAACGTATGAGGAGAGAAAGCTGATGCGATCGTCCGGAACAACTTGACGCCGTGCCCCCCAAATGCCTCAATACCTACATACATCACCACTAAGATAGTTAGTGGTACGAACGCACAGGATGCATAAGTGGGGCTAAGTGAGTTAGGCTAAGTTAGACACACTAGTATCCTAAATAGGACATAAGGTTATATAACCTATAAAGTAATTAATAGATTACTTATTAATTACTATAATTAGAATAATTAATAAATAAATAGATAATCTAACTATCTAGAATTATAGTAAAGAGGTAAATAAGTACTTAAAGAGAAAGTATTCTTATAATTAAGTAGTCTAAATCTCTACTAATTAATCTAAATAATAACTCTACTATTAAGAGGTATCTTTTAATATAACTTATATTATAATAAACTACTTATTAGTACTTTATATATTTAATTTAACTTTTTACTTAAGAAATAGACTAACTATAGATTAGGATTAAACTACTATTATATAAAGATTTTTAAGAATCTATAAAGTAGTTTATTAGATTCTAGAGTATTTTAGGAGTTATAGTCTTAAAGAGTAGTTTAGACTTTTTCCTCTATAATAGGTTTAAATAAAGTCTATTTATTCTATAGACTAAGTATAAAATAGGGTTTATTTAATAATTATACTCTTTCTAATAGAGGGAGAGAGAAGAACTTTTATAATAGTACTTTAGTCTTCTCTTTTTTAATAGTTACTAAAAGGGTACTAATATAGTCTAATAATTATACTACTCTAAGTATTTCTTTTAATTATATAGTATTTTATTTATTTACATTTCTTTTAAATTTCTAATTAAAGTATACTTATTTATTAAAGTAATTATATTAGTTTTATTTTTTTAAGTTAATTACAGTTTAGTTTTAATATATAATTATTTAGTTAGTAAATATAGTATACTTTCTAAAAATACTTTATATTAAATAGTATAAATTAAAGTCCTTTATTATTATATAAGGTTTATTCTTTTTATTAAGTCTAATACAATATCTAATAAAATCTATACTAAGTACTATATATATATTAATTATTCTAAAGTATAGACTATTAAACTAGTCTTAGTATATATTCTTTTATATATTTATTTTTTATATAGTTAGATTATACTTTATAGATATAAGTTACTATATACTCTCCTCTTTATAGAAGCTAGTATAATACTAATATAGAGTAAAATAGTTAGTAGTTTAGTAGTACTTTTTAAAGTACTATAATATTTAGTCTACTCTTATTATAAAAAGTAAGTTAAATATTTCTTTTATTAATATTCTAGAATAGAATCTTTATTCTAAATAGAGTCTAGTATAATAGTTTCTATACTTAAAGTACTTTAACTTAATTATATTAAAGAATAAAAAATAATAGTTTATTTAACTAGCTTAAAAGGATAATCTAGTTTATTAATCCTATAGACTATTCTCTTAAATATAGATTAGAGTTATATTACTTTTAAAAGAAGAATATATAAAGGGACTATAGGGGTTTTATTATTAGATTATAGCTTTTAAATATAGTTAGTTAATAATAGTAGACTATTTAGACTCTTAGTTATTAGTTATTTATTTTAAAGTAAGTCTAAGTCTATACTAAGTACTCTTTACTATAGTTATAGTAATACTTTTTTATAGTCTTTATTTAAGTAAAGTAGACTATACTCTTTAAGTAATAGTTAGTACTATAGTAGCTATATAGTAATAAGTATTTATAGTATTTTATAATATATTTAAACTTATAGTAGTTAAAGTACTATTAGGACTAGACTAATTCTATATAAAGTTTATATTAAAATACTTAGGAATTAAAGAATATACTTTAGTAAATAAAGTAGTTAATCTATTTTTAATTTACTTTACTTTTAGTCTTAAGACTAAATAGTATAATAATAACTTTAGTTTAGTTTAATATAAATAAAGTTATAATACTAGCTATAATATACTATTTATTAGTACTATTATATAATATTAAATCTATATAGTCTATATTAACTTCTTTCTTACTATATATAGTGAATAGAGACTAGAGGGTAGTTATAAGTCTAATTACTATATTAAACATTTTCTCAGCAATTAGAGGGTACATGTATTTATGGAGGTTGCTTCTTTACACAGCAACCACTACGCCGTGCTCTTTGGGCATCTGATATGGATTTCTTGTTCGGCTCGGTGCTCGCAATTCGTGGTCTTAAGCGTCTTGAGTATTATTTAGCGCTTTTGTACTTCTTCTTAGCACTCCGAGAGAGGGGATAACGTGACTTGCTGTCCAAATTCGGCGTCCTGCAGGCGCCTTGTGAGGTCTTGTAAAGACCTTACCAGCCTGTCATGCGGCATCGCCCTACTCGGCGAACGCCACATTTCACGTGGTAGTGTTAGTCTGGACGCTGATATAAATACATCCACACCCCTCCTTTCTTTTCCGCTTTACCATTGTTCAAGTAACAAAGCAAACTACCAACTATATTTCCCGCAATGAGCTGCCGAGTAAGTCTTTTGGCGTTATTGCTGGTTGAATAAATATTGTCATTTTTTAACACAGTCCCTTCTAGATTCTACCTGACTTTACCAAGGGCCTTAAGACAGATCCTACCGGCATGCTTCATCTAGGCAAAGATGGTGTTTTTCGCAGCCTGTCTAAGGACCTAGAGGTCATTGACGCCGTGGCTTTAACGTGGGAGCAGTATAAGCAGGTGTTGGAGGCCGTCGGCTCCTTGTCGCAGTATACTGGTGGCCCGGTCGACGGCACAAAGCTGCCTCAGAGCGAATGGTATCATCCCCAGCCTGGAGTCCTCTTACCTAAGATGGATGAGTAGATAGTTATACATAGTAATGCCACGCATATATTTATACTCTAATAGGTTCTAGAGCTTAACATAGTATCCGTGGATTCTTGCCCACTAATTATATCCAACACAGAGACCGCTTCGTGGCAGCACACGACCGACAATGCCAAGACAGAGACTACAACCGTATTGAAAGCACTCGGGGGCAGTGTAGCAGTGATAGGCGAGATTGTAACAAGCTCGAGGCTTGAGGAGAGCGTTCCGCGACTCAAACCGCTTTTTCACCGCGCCACCAGGTTCGAGCCCCTTTGCGTACTGGAGGGACATCTCGTAGCGTATCTCGGCCTCCTGCTGCCACGTAATGGCGACTTGCGCAATTACGTTGCCAGCCTTGTCGAGCGACTGCAGTAGCCCACCTTGCTCACTGAGTTGGACCATACCACCCGTGTCGGCTTTTGAAAGTTGCTATAACTATATTATTATAAAATTCATGAGGAAAACAGAGTTGTCATACTCGGAAGACATCGTTCAGTTGCTCGCTAAACCCAAACACAGTTGGGGCGTAGGCAGCAAGACTGGCGAGAAGAATAGACTGAAGTTTGAACTGCATTATGCAATAGTTTTAATGTCGAGAGTTGATAATAAACTTACTGGCAGAAGTAGGAATGATGGAGGTAGAGTGGCAGGATTAATAGCTGGATAAGGGGCACGCTTTAAAACCTACGCGGTCAAAGTCCGTCTCGGGAGCAAGGACTTGTTTTGTTCACGCAAATGAGGATACATACAACGTTCTGAACAATGCTGTGAATATTCAGTGTATTAATGCGCTGGCGATGGCTCCTTTTTTTACACGTATGCAGCGGCTGGTTTCTCCGCATCAGGACGGATGCAGTTTATAATATCTGCATGTAGCGCCACACCTGAATCCTGCTCTGCGTTTTATGAACACCTTCCTCATTTTGTATATTGGAGCCGTCCATTTAATGTCGTGTAACACATAGTAATGTCTTTACCGTGGATCCTTCTCTGCAGGCGGAGGTGGCTGTGACGGAGTGCATATCTAGCCTGGGCGGGAGGACCATGGCGATTATGAGTATTACTCTTCGGCTATAAGGGTTCAGCTTAGAGCTTAGCGTATGAGACAGGCTAGGATCCAGGTTTATACTAATTAATCGGACTTTTAGATAGGGACGAAATCTGTATCTCTAGCGTAAGTCCACTAGTGATTCTATAATATAATATAAGCTAATAAAAGGAAAGAAGAAAGTAAAATAGTCTATATTAATTATTATAATTATAGTATTAAAGTACTATTTTAAGTAGTACTTAGAAGTAATACTACCTTTAAATTAAATAAATTATATTTAGCCTTATATTCTTTATTTAAAATATTTAATTAAATATATATTAAATACTAAGTAGATTAACTATAGTATTATAACTAAATATAGCTAGTGCTACCCCTTTCTTTCCTAAAAGCCTAGTACTAGAAGAGTGACTTATAGGGGAGAAGTTTAAAGTAACTATAGGTCTAAGTGTAATAGTGGCTTAATCCTAATCCACAGTTAGTCTATTTCTTAGGTAGAGAGTCAGTTTAAGTGTATAAGTGCATATAAGCAGTTATTATAGCATAATGTAACGGTGGCTCTTCTCTAATCCACAGTAAATCTGTTTCTT